ATATTGGCATCGGCACGTTTGACTGGAGCCCATCCTGACGGGACACGGCTGCGAGACTCGTGAATGACAGGAGGGGAGGATGCCGAGGGCGCTGCAACAGCGCAGAGGACAAAGGCTAGGACGGTCAGAAAGCGAATGGCGAGCTTCATCCTGGAGCAAGGAATGGGCTGCACCACGAAGGCTCGCTGGTCCTTGTCTGCTCGTTATAAAACTTATTTGAGCCGCTCTGGGGCCATCACAGACCGCGGCCAAGAAGCCCGTCTATCCTGGCAGTTGCAGTGGATGGGCCCTGAAAAGAAGGTGATAAATGCTTGGAACCGCGTGGACGTTCGCCCACTGTATAATGATTGCGGAAATTATTGTCCCGAATAGAATATGGTCAACCGTGAATTTTTTGCCATCTAGTGGCTACGGGAGATGAGCAGGGGCGCAAAAGTCGACATACCTTCAGCACTCGAGTGAGAGGACAGACCATTGCACCTCTTCCTCGCGTCGTGATAGATATCATAGGTGAGAATGGGTTCGACATTGGTCGTCAATCACCGCTGGGTGAGTTCTTTGTTACGCAATCCGTCTTCTATGTACTCACGGTTACTGTCAGGTGGTCGGTTGATAACCTCCGCGAGACACTTGCTGATCGGATCCTTGTACTAGACTTGGGTTGCAAACCGACTTTTCTGTTCAATGGACGACGTGGGTCCGCGCGATATGGGAGAGAATTTTGCCGAAATCAAATATGAGATGATCACAAGTCCATCCCGGGAAGGATTGCAATGACTCTCCGACTTACAGCAACTTGAATGCGCAGAAAGATGCAGTGGAATCGCGTTTTTCGAATCTCTGTGCTCCACACCAGGACCCCAGGGCTGATTTTCTTCCTAGGATGGGTTAGATAAGGGATGTCGACGCCGCAACGCTTTTGGTGAAGGAGGCTTTCCCTCTAGCAGCAGGCAAATCTTGTACTTTCCTGGGTCATGCTGCTCCAGTGCAGGGCTTTGTTGAGGGCCAAGCAAAAGACAGCCTGAGTTGAAAGAGAGTTGGTTCAATGTGCAGACTCATGTTGACATAAACTGAAGCAGAGAGTAGCAGATACAGCAAGCACCAACATTCTCTCAGCACCCTCACAGATGAGGCATAGATTATCTTCGCCGGGAATGCTAAAATAGGACTACGACGTGCTCCAGCACAGAAGCCATACGAGCAGTTTGTAGTGAGGAAATCAAAATATATTGGTAAGAGAAAGACAAAAGGTAAGAGAGGAGGGCGAACGAAAAGGTGACCACATGAATGACTCGCGGCCAGTGAGCACAGTCGGTGAAGCTAAACTCGTGAAGATGTTGATATAAGCAGCGGTGACACCAGTCAACGAGCATGCTCAATCCTGTTAGCAGAAAGACATGTGCTAAGACTTGCCTGGACAGCATGGGACAAGAGCGATACTCTCAGATTCTCCTGTAGATACCACATATGTCCAGTGAATCCCGTCTCCCCCCTTCTCTCCCTCACCAAAAGTGTCGTGGCGTCGACATGAGGGCACTGCGCACAAACGCAGGCGCGTCGACATCCCTTATCTAACCCATCCTAGAAAGGAAATCAGCCCTAGGGTCCTGATGTGGAGCGCAGAAATTCGAAAAACGCGATTCCACATCTTTTCGCCCATTGCTGTAAGCCGTAGTGGAGGGATCGATAACCGCTCAGTATTGAAAAGTATATGTTGAAACGCTCACTGTAACTAGGCATGAAGTGCTTTGATACTAATATTAGTAATAGTACTTACGGCCGTCAGTCGGTTTTGATTCGATGCGGAATTCTCAAGAAAGAGACGTTAATAAGCTCGGGCCGTAGATCTCCGAATCACAGGCGGCGGCTCGGTCACATAAATGTGACAACCGGATGTGTTCTCGCGCGCCCTCGAGTCGCGAGAGGGACTCGACCTCCGACCTCCTCGTTATGAGATATCCAGATCTTGCTAGTTTGTCTTGACCTATCTTGCTTCACTCAATTTCCACCAACTCTTCCTGACCTGTCTCCGTTTTGTCGCGAGAGCTCCCGCTTGGAATTTCGTGACAGCCTAGCAGGGAACTTATCTTACTGCTTCTCCTCCTTTTCGCTTGCTCAGCGACTGACAGGATTGTTTCACTCGAGAGACATACCCTTTTACGGATACAGTATCGTACTTCCTGAAACTCGCGATGAAGGTTACAGCTTGGAGCTCCTATAAGAATCCCTCCTCTGAGGCGGGCTTGGGCGATTTTAGTATGTCCTCTGCATGCGGGCGCGACATATAAAGGTCAATGCACATACAAATATATCAGTACGTCGATCAATTTTCTACGTCAATACTAAGTAAGTTAGTAGGTTTGTTAATCGATAATCGCGGTCTCTATAGGAAGCGTATCTGGCAACTCATCAGCATTGCCAAGGCTGCGGCATTGGTCTCCCGTTCTCCGGATTCCGTCCTCAGCAGACCTATTCAGATGCTCATCCTCACAACGCCTGCTCTAATCCATTATTTCTGCAAGTGTTCATAACATTTATCATTGTTTGTAGGGCTGATGTCAACATTTGCCGTTTAGTGGTTCTCGTAGGTTTGGAGTCGATTAGGCTTGTGATCAGCTGTTCGTGCCTATCACGGCAGTGGTCGCCGACTGCGTACTTGTTGTGCAAACAACATTCATGATCATGAACCATATCCCCCTATGCGCAATTACACTGTGATATGTATAATCGTCCCCCTCAGATACAGTACCATTTTACGAAGGCCACGGCACTGTTTGCTATTTTGGAATTATGCGATCTACGAATGAGGATGATGTAACAATTCCAGGTAAGATTCTTCTGTCAACAGCGCTCGTACAACGTGATGTGCTATCACGGTACCAAGCTGGTACAGTACCGTGTTTGGGCTGACCTCTCTGCCGCGGTGTGTTATATGCTGTATTTTATTCCAGGTGCAAGGCACGCACTCACATATCATCATTTATTGGTCTTATGACGGCGTGAACTAGCATAGACAGGCTTGGCCGGAACAAATATCGTTGTTCAGCATCAGCGCCCGGCTCGGACGATATGGACATCTCTCCCCCCAAGATCTGTGGCTGGTGTGGCCTGCACGAGGCCATTCGCCTGGCCATTTGACCTCTGCTCCTACAGCGGTTGCGTTGATTTATGCATGCACTACCGGCCTCTGGCTTGAGCGATTGCGAGGCAGACGCTCGAACGATGGACATGAGGCGCGTCGGGACCGATATGCACCATTTGATGACGTCGGCTTGGGGTGGGGTGTCTTCTGTGCGCTAAAAATAGCAAAATATCCGATCACGTGCCCGCACTATTCGCCTTTAGGCTTGCAGGTAAGATCCCCGCTTAACTTTCGCTCTCTGCCATTTCGTCTCTCTCTTCGATCTCTCCCTCGTGGTGCGTCTTGTCTTGCCCAACCTTTGGCTGCCGCCCCTCTTTCTGGCACCCGGAAGGTTTGAGCAACCAGCCAACACGCACACTTATACCAGCCTCGCACGTTCGTCAACACAGAGCCGGACGCGATGGCCTCCAGTGTGGACCGCGACATGGAAGGGCTCATGCCCCCGCAGCCGATTCACGATCTCTCGCGCCCTACCTCTGTCGCTCGCTCAGACAACACCAACTTGGGAGCTGGGTTGGGCTCGTCTACATACATGCCGTCGACGGGCATCGAGACAGCTCCATCATTACCGTCCACCCCATCATACCGAGCCAGTGCAGCAACAAATGAGCTGGCCGCGGAAGGCCAAGGTCCATTCGCTACGCCCCCGGATGTACTCGACGCCGCGTCGCCCTTTGCTCCGGTCGCGGCAACTGATGCCTACGTTGGATCAGGCCAACGGTCGGGATTGGGGGGCGCAGATGCAGCAGTAGCGCCCATAACGAAGGAAGCCGCCCACAGCTCGGACGAGGCGCTTGCAGGTTCGGGCACGGTCGCCGGTGTGAAAGGGTACGGCAAGCGGCCCTGGTACAAGCGACCACTGATCTGGCTTGGCGCTTTTATTGCGCTCGCGGTGGTCGTCCTCGCGGTGGTACTTCCGGTCTGGTTTGTTGCTGTCAAGCCGCATCGTGACAACAGCAGCTCTGCTGCCTCATCCAAGGGCTCCAGCGCGAACCCGGAGAGCCCGACGGGCGCAACAAGTGGCGGAAATGGGAGCACTGTGGTTATGGCAGATGGGACGAGCTTTACATATGTGAACAACTTCGGTGGATTCTGTGCGTACTCTTTGCATTTCAGTTTCACTTCACTTCATTTCACATCTCCTCGTCCCAACCGCATGCCGTTTCCTCATGTGATTTGTCATGCTTTTGTTGGCGAGAGGTATGCCTGTTGGCTACCTCTACATCTTGGGAAGATTTGGTACACACGCGCGTGCCTGTCGTTAGACTGGTAGCTCCACAGCCTCCACTGTTCTCCGATGTATCATGGAGTAAGTGGCGCTTGACTTGGCTGCTGATCTTGGCGGCGTTGTCCGGTCCGGGCTCTGAATGTGCGCATTTGTCACTGTTGGTCTCGGTCGTGTGTTAGCAATTTACTTTGCTTTCACTCATGTCTGTATATGTCGATTTTTCCGGCCCTCAAGGTCTCTTGTAGGCGCGCTATTCGTGTTAGGTGCCGTCTGCTCAGGATTTGGAGCTCGAAACCAGGATCGGGCTCGCACTGGTATATCAGATGGGATGGGCTCTAATGGTGTTAGAATAAGCCATTTGCGTGATCATCGTGATGACCAGCTAATAGCCATTTCAGCCATGACTTTCTATAGGGTAATAGATTGTCGTTACAGGCACTTGCTTCGTGTTCACGCGTAGTCATTTTACTTGTCGCCGAACGCAGTGCTAACGGGACACTTCATTGCAGGGGTATATGATCCGGCAAATCCATTCAACAACTCTGCGCAGCCAAACTCGTGGACGCCGCCGTTGTCGCAGGCGTGGAACTGGAGCACAGATCGAGTCTTCGGGGTGAACCTGGGCGGGCTGTTTGAGCTGGAGCCGTTCATTTCGCCATCGATCTTCCAAGAGAATCCCACAGCAGTGGATGAGTGGACGTTAGACCTCAGTCTTCGTGCAGGGAGCAACGGGAGCGAGAACATTCTTTCAGTGATGGAGAATTACTACAACACATTCATTACGGAGCAAGACATAGCTGAAATTGCAGGTACGTACTGAGATACGCGATTGTTTCTATCATAGTCTGCGCGCGGGTTTGACCAACTTTGATTCAATGCGCAGGTGCGGGCTTGAATTGGATCCGCTTGCCGATCCCATTCTGGGCGATCGACGCGTGGGACAACGTCGGTGTGCTGAATGGAACGACCGTTGCTGAGCCGTTTTTGGCACGGACGTGTTGGTCGTACATCCTTCGGGTGATGCAGTGGGCTCGCAAGTATGGGATTCGTATCAATCTTGACCTGCATACTATACCAGGCTCACAGAACGGTGTGTATATGTGCTCATATGGTGGAGTAACATGATGCTGAGCAGGACTAATGAAAGGATACAATCATTCGGGTAAAATGGGCATGATAAATTTCCTCAACGGCGCTATGGGTGTGGCCAATGCGGAGCGTGCGCTGGAATATATACGTGTTATCGCTGAGTTCATTTCTCAGGTACGTCTGCGCCATGCCCTATGTGTTTGTGCAGCTCGGGGCTAACGTCTAGTTCTTTAGACCGAGTACCAGCCTCTAGTCCCGCTGTTCAGCATTGTGAACGAGCCACTACTGTCAACTATCGGCAAGGACTCGCTTACCACATTGTACGTCCTTATTTTCTATGGACATGTAGGCTTACTACTGATGAAGGCGCTGGCGCCTAGCTACCTTCGGGCAAATGAGATGATACGCAACATCACGGGGGTCGGTGAAGGTCATGGGCCGTACATGGCAATACACGACGGCTTCATGGGTACGGCGTACTGGGCTGACTTCCTTCAGGGATCCGACCGAATCGCGCTGGGTGCGTCGTTTGTCGCTGATTGAAGCGCGCAACGCTGACATTGACATCTATCATTGTTCTATTCACGATTCTTGTGGCGTTATGCTCCACGGAACGACATTTGTGACGCTTCCGTGATCCTGAATAAAACTGCAGATACACACCCGTATTTTGCATTTGATAACCAGCCGAATACCCAGCCGACGAACGTGACTGCCACGGGAGGCAATGGGACAGTCTACGGTGGCCCGTGGCCGCAGATGGCGTGCACGTCTTGGGGAGGGGAAATGAACACAAGGTCCGTGACACCCTTCTTGCTCCCCCTTCGCACCGCTTGATCTGATGCACTGTTATTGTGTTTCACTCATTGTTTTTGTTGAACAACATGGCTTCTACTCGGTAGCCGAATCAACTTCGGTGTCACGATTGCGGGCGAGTTCAGTAATGCCATCAATGATTGCGGACTCTGGGTTCGTGGTGTGAACACCAGTGCGGACTACGGAGGCAACTGCGACTATTGGGAAGACTGGACCCAGTGGAGCGACGAGACCAAAGCGGGTTTGAAGGAATTCGCCCTCGCAAGCATGGACGCGCTAGGTGACTGGTTCTTCTGGACGTGGAAGGTCGGTCTCAGGGTCGCGCTAGTTCTGCCATTGAAACACTCATCGCACATGACACACCCGCGCAGATAGGAAATTCGTCCACGACCAACAGCGTCTTGTCCCCCTTGTGGTCGTACAAACTCGGGCTCGAGAATGGGTGGATGCCGCTCGACCCGCGGGAGGCGTCGGGTACCTGCGAGTCCCTGGGGTACCAGCCGAACCTGTGGAACGAGACCTACCCGTCGTACGCGACTGGCGGGGCGGGTGCCGGGGACATCGCCCCATCGTCCGTGGCGCAGTATGGGGTGTGGCCGCCGGCGTCGATCGCGAACGTGCCGACCGGGTCGCAGGCGTACCTCCCGCAGTACACGTCGACGGCGCCGATCGTGAGCCTGCCCCCGGCGTCGACGTACAGCGCCGCGGCGGTGAGCACCGGCAACGGGTGGTACGACGCGCAGGACACGGCGAGCGCGCCGACGCCGATCAGCGGGTGCACGTATCCGGATGCGTGGAGCGCGGTCGGGTCGCCGATCCCTACGGCGGGGTGCGGCGCGGCGGCGTATGCGGGCGAGAACGCGAAGCGGGAGGCGCCCCCGCCGGTGGTCACTGCGCCGCCGAGGGTGCTGTGAGGAGCGGGCTATTGGGCGTGGCGGGTGCCGCTGTTCGGCACCGCAGGAGGGGTGGGCGGCGGACGGAGCAGTGCTGCTAAGCGGGGGAATATAGAAGGTGGAGGCGGCGGCAGAAGCGCGTGTGGAACAGATGGGCGAGGAGGCGAGGTACGGGGGGTTGGCTCGCGCGGCACGGCGGCGGCGGCGGCGGCGGCGGGGC